GCCTCCAACGCGATCTGAAACAGCCGGCGCCCTAATTGCAAGATCATACGTTCTTGTCAGTGATGTGCTCACGCACTTCCTCGAGGTCTTCAGAGCACACAGAGCCGCCGCTGAAACTACTTCTCAAGCAGGATGGCCTCACGCCGTCCTCCGGACAGCCGTCGGCGCATCCCATGCCCGAGATCAGAGCTGCAGTGAGAGATAGGGAAAGCCCCCCCCCTGGGATCACTAAAACTTACCCCAACTCAGTTGCTGAGTTCATAGGCCCCCGAAAAGTGCACACTTTCAGGTCTAGAGGGGATTATAGTATCCCAAAAAGTGCACAGTGTACTCATAAAAGCTGGAAAAATCCTAAACTGCACACCTGAGATGGGGGGGGACCCTACACTGGATTTGCATATGAATGGCTTCATTCCTTCTTTCCAAGTTGAAGCTTGTAGTAGACGCCCTGGCACCAGGGGGTCAAGGTTGCTGTGTAGGCGTGTGAGGGTTGAGGGCTTAGGGCTTAGGGTTTAGGGTTTAGGGTTTAGGGTTTAGGGTTTAGGGTTTAGGGTTTAGGGTTTAGGCTTTGGGGTTTGGGGTTTAAGGTTTAGGGTTTAGGGTTTAGGGTTGAGGGTTGAGGGTTTAGGGTTTAGGGGCCTCACATCCTGATCCTCAAAATATTTCAGAATAGAAAGGCCTGGGCCCTACACCCCTCCTAAACCCTACACCCAAAGCCACAGCAACAAAAACCTGAACCCGAATTCAAGGCTTCGACGTCAGCTTCCCAGACCCTGAAACCCTCCCAAGCAAAACATGTGGGGCGTTTAGGCAGAGATGTTGGGTTTAGGGTTTGGGGTTTAGGGCTTGGGAGCCTTAAGTCCCCCCTAAACCCTAAACCCTAAACCCTAAACCCTAAGACCTAAACCCTAAACCTTAAACCCTAAATACTCTCTTTCGCTACCGTTTTGGGGCTACGAGGGATCTCCACCTTCGCCTGCATCAGCTCGGAGTGGGTTCCTGTCTCAGCGACCTCCCAAAAAAGAAGCGGGGATTTCAGCGCGCCGTGATGAGGGCTTTTCGGGTCTGCACCCTAAACCCTTAAACCCCTACAAGGTCAGGCCCTAAACCCCTAAAAGTTTAGGCCCTAAACCCCTAAACCCTAAACCCCTAACCCGAACCCTAACCCCTAAACCCTAAACCCTAAACCCTAAACCCCTTCTTCCGGGAGAATCAGGGTACCGTTGCGGTGGCATGGGCCAAGCAAAAGCCAGTGGCGAGGCTGCGCTTCGAAAGGTTGAACTTCTAAGGGCTTCTTAGGGGTTAGGGTTTAGGGTTTGGGGTTTGGGGTTTAGGGTTTAGGGTTTGGGGTTTGGGGTTTAGGGTTTAGGGTTTGGGGTTTGGGGTTTGGGGTTTGGGGTTTGGGGTTTGGGGTTTGGGGTTTGGGGTTTGGGGTTTGGGGTTTGGGGTTTGGGGTTTGGGGGTTGGGGTTGGGGTTTGGGGTTTGGGGGTTTTCTTGGGGTTGGGATGGGGTTGGGGGTTTGGGGTTTGGGGTTCGGGGTTTGGGGGGTTTTGGGGTTTGGGGTTCGGGGTTCGGGGTTTGGGGTTTGGGGTTCGGGGTGGGGTTTGGGGGGTTGGGTTGGGGGTTTTGGGGTTTGGGTGGGGGTTTGGGGTTTGGGGTTTGGGGTTTGGGGTTTGGGGTTTGGGGTTTGGTTTTGGGGTTTGGGGTCCGCCGACCCTGGCGGCGTGTTGAACACGCAGCCAGGGTTTGAGGCGGTGAAAACCTCCCTCTTTCCCTCCTTACCCCCCCAAAACGCGGGGGGGGGGTGGGGGGGGGGGGGGTAGGGGGGGTCGGGTGCACAATTTTTTCGTGGAGGACCGCGCCACCCGCACAGCGTAAACAGGCGGTTCAGCACAGGGGGGTAGGGGCGCCCTCAGCAAAATCAGCGTTTTCGGCACCCCACCCACCCACCCTCCCCCCCCCCCCCACCCCCACCCCCCCCCCACAACCCCACCCCCCCAACCACACCCCCCAACCCCACCACCCACACCCCCCCCACCGCCACCCCCCACCCCCCGCCCCCCCCCCCACCCCCCCCCACACCCCCCCCCGCCCAAACCCCCCACCCCACCCCCACCCCCACCCACCTGTCTTTTTGGCTTGAGCTTGTCCTGGTGCTACCCCCTACCCCCCCCCAAACGTTTCACAGAACTCTGCCGAGCAGGCTGGATGATCTTCGAACCATGCGAGCGGGTTTAGACCTCTCAACTATGCTCCAGCGGGGTCGGCGGCTTGAGCCGGAGGCTCTTAAATTTGGGGCTATAAGGTTTTAGTGGGCACCGGAACACCCCTGTACTGGTTGGGAAGCGCCCTGCTTGGCGGGGTGGGAAACCAAGATTACCTCCTAGTAACCCTTGTCTGATGACAACGTTAACTTTCTAGTGCCCCTAAGCCCTCAGCCCGAAACCCTCAAACCCTAAGCTGACTGTTTACGTAAATCCTGAACCCTAAATTCCCCTC